CAGTCTATCAATGAAAAGCAAAACTGACAAATGTGAAATAATCAGAGAATGAATATTTGCTTTAGAAGTTCAGAGAAGAGAACGAGTCAAATATTCAAGAGAGTAGTGAATGAAGGAAAAGAGATTTGAGATGGGACTTTGAAAGTGAGACAGGGTCAGCCAAAGGACATGAAAAGTTATAAGATGAGAATGAGTAGGTGTGCTTCTGGCACAGTGAGGAGACTAGCCTGATTTGACGTGTGTCTCCTTTCCAAATATATATTACGTATCTATCCACTTCTATTCCTTTCCTTTGCTACCACCCTGGTCCAGTTCCTCCTTAACTCTCAGGCAGATTACTACAATAGCTGTGATTTTTCTCCTTACCATGCCCCATGTACAATTCATTGAGCTGACACAATAATCTCTTATTCTTTTTTTCATTTAAAACCAGATCATTACGAGCCCCTTGCTCAATTCCCTTCAAATGGCTTCCCAAATGCACTGAGAATAAAACCCAAACTTCTTACCATGGACTTCAAGGCCCTAAATGATCTGGACCCCACTTACCTACTTCATCTTCTCTTCTAACATTCTATCCCTTGTTCATCCAACTTCATTGCTCTTTTTGTTCCTGAAATCAGGATGGGAGAAAAATGAAGAATAATGACAACATTTGCTTAGCACCAGACAGCTACAGTCTGTGTTCTTCATTCACGTGTTACACAAATCTTCTCTGTATGGTGTGATGCCCATTTCTAAAATTAACCTGAATTCCAGAGAGTGTAAGATCACAGATCGTGAGATTATCAGAGTTGTAAATCAAACCCATGGTCTTTCGACCAGCATTGTGAGGTGGTAGAGGACAATATTTATAATTAATGATATATGAAACATGATGAGAGAGATGAGTGAAAGTTAAATTCAAATGTTAAAACCTGGATTAATAAGGAAATGATAGTGTCATGAAATTGGTAGCTGCAAAGCCTTGGAATATTAAAAGGACATTTGGCCCAATGAGACCCGCCTTAGAGGCTGTGCCAGGACGGTGGCTTCTGCTCATGGCACTGCAACAACACAGCCATGTGAATTTGGATAAGTCACTTCAGTTTTGCAAGTCTCAATCTGAAAGAGAGGGAGAAAACTTTTGTGACCTTGGGTTAGGCAATAATTTCTGAGAAACAACCAACCCTAAAACTGTGATCTGTGAAATAATAAAATTGAAAATTGGACTTCATCAAAGTTAAGCATTTCAGCTCTTCAAAAGATACTGTTAAAAGAATGAAAAGACAAGGCACAGACTGGGAGAAAATATTTGCAAATCACATAATTTTTAAAGAACTCATATCCAGAATATATAAAGAACTCTTAAAACTCAATAATGAGAAAACAAACCCAATTTTTTTTTAATGGGCAAAAGATTTGAACACAAACTTCACCAAAGAAGATATACAGATCATAAATAAGCACATGAAAAAATGCTCAACATCATTAGTCAGTAGGTAAATGTAAAATAAAACCACAATGGGATACCAATACACACCTACTATGCCAAGTATTGGCCAAGATGTGGAAGGATTAGAACTCTCATACACATGAGGTGGTATTATAAAATGTTACAACTACTTAAAAACTATTTGGAAATTTCTTAAAATGTTAAATGTACATCTATCATGTCACTCAACCATTCCACTCCCTAGGTTTTCACCCAAGAGAAATGAATGTGTATGTCAATTCATGAATATTCATAACAGCATTAGTTGGAATAGCTATATGCTGGAAAATATCTATCAACACATAAATGGATAAACAAATGGTGGTATATTTACATTAAGAAATACTGCTTGCAAATAAAGAGGAATGAACTACTGATAAATAAATCTCAAAATAATTATGCTAAGTGAAAGAAACCAGATAAAAAGATATGGATAATTTGATTTATTTTTAAAAATCTAAGAACTGCAAACCATACCGACAGAAAGAAGATCATGCTTGCCTGAAGTTAGGGAAGGGGTCATGAGACGGGCAGGATGTTGGGATTACCAAGGAACATGAGGGAACTTTTAGAACTAATGGACATGTTCATGAACTTGAATATGGTGGTGATTCCATGGGTACATACATATTCAAAATTTATCAAATTGTACACTTTAAATACATGCAGTTTATTGTATCTCAATTATATCTCAATAAAGCTGTTAAAAAAACAAAAAAGAAAGTAACAGAAATCAAGATAGTATGGTATTGGCGTAAGGATAGATTAGTGGAATGGAATTGTGAGTCAGAAAACAGAACCACATTTGTGTGGTCAATTGATTTTCAACAAAGGTGTCAAAAAAAATCAATGAGAAAAAGATCATCTTCTCAATAAATTGTGCTAGAATAACTGAATATCCATATAGGAAAACTTTACCCATGACACCCTACTGAAAAATTAATTTGAATTGGATTATTGACCTTATATATGATCTAAAACCATAAAACTGATAAAAAAAATCATAGGGGAAAATAATTGCAACCTAAGTTTAGAAAGTATTCTTTATAGGACACAAAGAGTGTGAACCAATAAAGAAAAAAAATTGATAAACTGCAATTTATCAAAATTAAAAATCTTTATCAAAAGATATCATTGTGAAAATGAAAAGGCAAGCCACAGAATGTGAGAAAATATTTGTAGAACATATATTTGACAAAAGACATGCATCCAGAATACATGAAGACCTTTGAAAAATCAATAATAGGAAGATGAACTACCCAATATTTTCTTTGAAAATGGAAGATTTCTAGTATTGGTCAAGACAGAGTAGCCCCATTTCTTCCAAGTACTCCCTCCCACAGCTGAAAAGCCCGGACATGACACAACGAACAAACACTGAGAGATTCTGAAAGATGGAAAGAAGACAGACTGTGTCCAGGGACCTTTGAACTTCAAGAAGGACAAAAATGAATTTCCTGGTTTTCTTTTTGTTACCAGTGGAGCAGTGGAGAAGCCTGACACCGTAGAATTGTCGGGGTGTGGCAGGGAACAGGAAGCTCCAAGAAAAGCCTGCTCCCTTCAGCCAAAGTACTAGGAAAGAGTTAGTCTAACATAGAAGAAAATCCTTTTGACAGTATCTGCTCTTCTGCAACCAAACTCTATGAAAAACTAACCCCCCACCCCCACCCCCAAACACTGCTGGCCTCATAGTTTCAGCAGAGATGAGCAAGAATCTAATATTCTTCACACACACACACACACACACACACACACACACACACACATACACAACAGCAGACGCAGGCAAGGACACTCTGATTTCCAGCTTGAGTAGTGTTAGTGGGACCAAGTGAGGAGCTTAACTTTCACTTTCTGCCCAGCAGGAAGTGACCTCCCCGGTGGTGTCAGTTGGGCAAAGCAGGGAGCAGAGTCTCCACCTCCAGCCAGCAAGTGCTGGGGCTAGTCTTCAATTAATTAACAATCTAATTCCATATTCTCTCTTCCTCTTTTCCCCATCCCCTCACTTTGTTGTACTCCCCTGTGCAAGGAAGGAAAAAATCCTGTTAAAATTCAACTCCCCACCTATTCCATTTTTGTATTCACACATCCAAACAAGTCTGGAGAAAAATGCAAAATCGTGCTGACTGTGTTCATATTAAGTTCATGACCAGTAAAGTGTCTCCTTACCATTGCCTACCAAGTATGTAATATGCAGTCAATCTCCCTCCTTCTCTTTTAGATGACTGTTACTAAGCCTTTTCTTTCTTCTCAAACTTCTAATAGTCCCTTCCCACAGCCATTTTTACCTGTTGACTTCACTTCTTCATTCACTTAGTAAAAAAAAAGAAGGAAGGAAAGAAGAAAAGGAAGGAATGAAGGAGGGAAGGAAGGAAGGAAGGAAGGAAGGAAGGAAGGAAGGAAGGAAGGGATTAATTAGAAGATGTGGTGGACATGCCATAGGTTTATCCCCACTGGATCACACTCTTGTATAGACCCATCCCCCAGAGTGTGGGCACAACCTGTGACCTGATTCTAACCAACAGAATGTGACAAAGATGATGGATATCACTCCCCTGATTATGTTATATGGCAGAAGCGAAGGGCTTTCGCAGAGGTAAGTAAGGTCCCTAATCAGTCGATTTTGAGTTAATCAAAGGAGAGATTATCATGGATGAGTCTGATCTAATCAGGTAAGCCCTTTAAATTTTAGTAATAATTTAAGTGTAATAAAACTTAAATCTGTTAGTATTTGCAGTGCTGAAACACTTATTAGAACTCATATATGTAAACTACATATATAAATGAGTAAATTTTGTTGTATTTAATTTTACTCAATAATTCTTTTTTTTTTTAGTTAATGTTAAGACCCCTCCTTTGCAATAGAATTCTAATAGCAGAATTGAGACTCAATAAAAGGTTGAGAGGTAGAGTTTACTTTCCCAGAACTTGCATCCCATACTACTGGGGTAGGTATCTATTTGTGATACTAATCATTGAGAAGAAAAACCAAAGGTTTTATTCAAATGTCACTCATTTCTTTGATTTAATGCCTATTCTAGGTGTAACCCAAGTATCCCTGAGTTTTCCGTGTTTTTCTGTACTTTGAAAACTGGAATATATGAGAAGATTCAACTCTTTAACTGTTTAACCTTTACCAGGTTTATTAAGGGTATTTGAATGACTAGGTATTGTCTATGGCTTCATTAACATCACAAGAGAGTGGAGCAGTTGCTGCAAAGACCCCTATGGCCTGCGAAGCCTGAAATATTTTCTATCAGGCCCTTTACAGAAAAAGTTTGTCAACTTCTGATTTAGAAAAAAGAGAGGACACTCTTTCTACATCTATTCTAAACAGGAATGAAACAAAGACATGGCTGATATGTGTACATTTATTAAGAAATCTAGTAAACGATATTGGCAAAATCTGGTTCAGATAACATGCCACCATTTCATAACTTACATTTGAATGAAAGCATTAAAATTAGAAATTGTTATCTAAAGTAACTCAATGACATTTTTATTTTTGTCTGTCTGTATACCCCAGGTTTTATTGGCTCATGAACCTAAATGCAATCATCGTCTTTCTGGGAATATCTTACGTCCAGCACTTGGGGGCCTGGGCCCTTGTTTTACTTATTCCTTTTATGTCTACACTTATGGCTCTGATAACTCTTCATATGATGTGCTATAACCTGATTTATCAGCCAGAAAAATGTAAGTAAATTATACTTCGCATTAATTTTTTGGTTGTTATTGTTTATTGACATATCTTCTTCCTCTTACATCCCCTATAACTTTCCTTTCAACTCATAGAATTTGGAGATTCTGCCCATTATTACCCTTGATAGCAACAGAGTCTGCAAGAATATCCATATTCTCTATCCTCTTTTAGTTTTCCCTTGCTGAAAAAGTTTTAGTAGTGGAATATTTCAAGCATAAACAAAAGTGAAAAAAAAAATAGCATATGAACCTCACCTATGTAGCTCTCAGCTTCAGCAATTATCAACTCATCTTCACTTTTTATCCATCCCATCCTGGTAATTTTGAAGCAAAAACTAAATATTATTTCATTTCATTAGTGTATTTAGTTATATGTATTTATATATAAATATATATTTTGATATATATTATGTGAGTTCACATATACATAAAAATACCTTTTGAAAAACATAATCACAATGTCATTACACTCACGTGTTTGTGGAGGGAATTTCTTAACAGCATTAAATATCTGGTCACTGTTAAAATCTCCCTGATTATTTTCATTTTTTGTTTATCTTGTTTTATTTTACAGTTCGTTCCAATCAAATTGAAATAAAGCTTATATATTCTAAATGCTAGATATGTCCCTTAAGCCAGTGGTCCCCATCCTTTTCGGCATCAGAGACTAGTTTCATGGAAGACAGTTTTTCCAAGGGTGGGGGAAGGGAGGTGGAGCTCAGGAGGTGATTCCAGCGATGGGGAGCGGCTGTAAATACAGATGAAGCTTTGCTCGCTTGCCTGCCATTCACCTCCTACTGTGCCCCCACTTTCCTAAGTTTCATGGAACCACGGAGGACAGTTTTTCCACGGATGGTGGAGGGGTGGGCAGCAGAGCTCTGCAGCCTGGTCCCTAACAGGCCACAGACCGGTACTGGTCCACAGTCAGGGGGTTGGGGACCACAGCCTTAAGCCGTATATATTCCTCATGCCTCTCTATCTCTCTTTGTTTAATTTCTTATTTTTTTGAAGAAATCTGAACATTTTATAGAGCATTTCACACAGTCTAGATTTTGCTGATTGCATTCACATGGTGCCATGGAACAAAGTTTTCCCTTTTATATTTTAATAGACCTAGGTACTTGATCAGATTCAGACTTTTTTTTTTTTTTGACAAAATTTCTACATAGATGGCATTCTGTACTTCAATCAAGAGGCATAATGCCTTTGTTTTACAGTGTTAACATCCACTGATGATTTTTGCCTAAATCCACTACTCTACTGGGGGTTGCAAGGTGTTGATATTCTGCATTTCTTGCTCTTTTATTAGCTGAAATAATTCTATAAAGAGAAGTAACTCCTCATCAAATGGTTAGAGGTATAGCTTATGTAAGAAAAAGAAGATAAATATTTCTTTCCCTCTATCTATAGATTTTCTAATTATTGAGTTGAAACTTCAACACCCTGCAAAGGTGACCTATTAGGGTTTTTTTTTTAAACTATTATTATGAATTCATGACTTAAACATTTTGACATGTTTCAATCTACTACTGTTAGTAATGGTCAAGTTTTTCCATACTTGGGCAGTGAGGTCCTGTTCATGCTGGTGTCTGAGTCCTTTGGACAAGCTTCTTGCTGTCTTTACTTCCTTGATTTTTTATGGATTATTCCTCCATTTCTTTAATAAAGGCAAATATCAAAATATGTGTGTGCATATATGTATGTATATTTTCCTCCCTTCTGATATAAGCAGTAACATATTATTCACACTTTTATCATCTACGTTTTTCATTTAATATTGCCCTGGTATTACTTTATAATTGTATGTAAAAAAAGTCCTCATTCCTTTTGATAGCTGTATAATACTCCATTGTGTGATGAACCATCATTTATTTTACTAGTCCTATACGGATAGACATTTGGGTTGTTTCTTTACGTTTGCTGTGTTAAGTAGGTTCTAATAAATAAGCCTGGTGCATACTTCTCTTTGTATTTTTTTTCCAGTATATCTTTAGGATAGATTCCCAGAAGTAGGATTGCTAAATCAAAAAGTAAGTCCATATATAATTTTGTTACTTGTTACCAAATTTCTTTCTAACTTTAGCTATTTGGAGGCTTCTCTCTTTTTTCTCAGTCTAGATAAGGGTTTGTCAATTTTGTTGATCTTTTCAAAAAACCAACACTTGGATTCACTGAGTTATACCACTATTTTGTGTTTCCACAAAAAATATAT